TTAAAATTGCATCATCATTTTGTTATGCAGTTTGAATTTAATTATTCCATTAGTAGGTCAAATAATTTCAATTAATATATTGAATAATTGAGGGAGAGAGAGAGAGAGAGAGAGAGAGAAAAGCGGGTGAGAAAGAGGAAGAAAGAGAGAATGAATGAATGAATGAATGAATAAATGAACTAATTAATTAATCAATAATTTAATCAATATCCATATAAAAACATCTTTTAAGAAAAAAATATCATCTTTAAGAAGGAAGAAATAAAAAAGAGAAAAATTACAGGCATATAATTAATTGCCTTCACTTACGTCTTACATAGTGAAAGCTTCTACATATTCATATAAATGTCAACACCGATTTTTACATAAAAATTATAATGTAATCAACCATTAAAAAGATTAAACCATTACTCTTTCATTCATTTATTCATTTCATCCATTATTTTAATAATTAATCTATTGATTGAATGATTGATTTATTCATTCATTCATCCATCTATCCATCCATTCAAATTAGAGTCAAGAAAGTGTAAAAATTTTGTCTACACAACATTTTGACTATAGAAAATTAAATTAAATAAAATAATAATAAATAAATTAATATTAAATTAAAAATATTTACAAAGAAAATTGAAATAACAAAAATTGAAATAAAAAGTAACTAACTTCAATCTTGAATACATCTTCTTTTATGTGACTTTAATTAATTTAATTAAATTTAGATTTTTTTTATATTTAATTCAATTCATTATAATTTTATATATTATTTTAACAAAAATAGTTTGTAAAGTAAACTTATAAAATGAAAATTAATCAGGTAAAAAATTATTAACCTGCGAGTTTTGTCCCATCAAACAAATCTCATTTTAATTATTTTTAAACAATTAATAATAAAAAAAAACAAATTAAATGATAAAATTAGTGAAAAATATGATTCAGATTTTTGACAAAATATAAAAAATAAATAAACCTACGGAGCTTAATAATAATTTAGTGTGAACGTTTAAAAGTGAACTGGCATCATAAAAATTCTACAGGCAATCAAACAAGTACTCAAAACAGAACACTAATCTCTAAATCACAAATCATTATATCAAATTTCTAATTTAAATTTCAAATTTGACAGCTGATTTTAATGAATTAATTAAATTTAAATAATAAGTTCTAATTATGGACTTTGAAGCTGTTAAAATAGGCGTATTTGTGATATAATCGATATAAAATATTTATACAGACACAGACCCATGTATTCCTCTACTTATATCACACATACAATCAACTTTTTATATATGTATCTTTATAGCTAGACGGTAAATACACTCGCATACAGACTT